GATTAAGTGGAAAGATTCTTATTTATTTTATCCGTAATTTGTTTATTTGGCAAGGCAAGGTTGCATACTGTCGCCGATATTGTTTAATGCTTATTCTGAAGAAATCATACAAGAAGGTTTGGTAAATGAGACAGTCGGCATAAAAGTGAACGGAGGTTTAATTAACAACATTAGGTATGTCGACGATACAGTCATAATAGCCGACAACTTGGAAGACTTAGAAAGAATAGAGTCACGAATGCAGAAGTGTTAAGGAGAATAGGCAGAGAGAGGGATATAGAAAATACAATAAAAGAAAGGAAATTGCAATATCTCGGACATGTAACATCTTGAGAATCATAATTCAAGGAAAAATAGAGGGTAGGAGAAGCGTAGGAAGAAGACGAGTTTGGTTGAAGAACCTGAGAGAGTGGTTTGGTTCCAACTCAAGGCAATTGTTCAGAGCAGCTGTCTCGAAGGTCAGAATAGCCATGATGATTGCCAACCTTCGTCGCGGAGATAGCACTTAAAGAAGAAGAAATTTGTTTATTATAAACAGACTTCAAATGTTTTAATTTTCAATTTTAGAGACGCAAAAGGATTAAGAATCTTTTTCGATTTTTTATAATATACGGGGTAAAACCAAAATGCTACAATATTATACACGAAATATATATTTTACTTCTTTTTTATTAACAGCTTAACAAATCCAACGAAATCAAATGTCGACTATATATTTACCATATGTGTATCTGTCATATTACATCCGCCATTACGTTTTTTACAATTTCAATTTGGGATTCGTAATCAGTGACTTCAAAATCACTCGGATACTAAATTTCATGTGAAACAAAAGACGCTTTCATATTTTAATCATCTTTTAGAGATTTTGGACCACTGTGCATCCGTACGATTTTTGGGGCAATGTGAGCTATTTTCTTAAAGTAAAGAGCTGACTCAACCCCTTTTATCAAGGCTTGGAACCGCTAACATGAACGTTCTACTATAGGCAGAGTTATTGGAATACATTAAAGTACAAATAATGATATATTATTTCAACTGACTTGGTGTACTTACTTGCGTGTAATTTTTAAATTAAAATAATCAATTGTAAACATTCAGGACTGAACATATCATAAATAAAAACAATAATAAGTATCATATAAAAACTTAGCTCTAGATATAATTAACATATTAAAAAATTATACTTTACTTCATTCTATACCCTCATGACTTACTAGTAACACAATCATCCATGTGGTATACATTCACTATGGCATTAAGATTTCTTTGTCTTGGCCAGTTAAATGGAGGAAGTCGCGTAATTTCTTAGAAATCTAACAGTTTTATTATCGCACAACATTTTTTTGCATTCAAACAATCAACTAAATTATTATGTATGGTAGAGTATAGCAAGCAGCAGAAGTCATTAAAGATATACATAGTTAATGGTCATTGCATTTTGCATGGGAAATGTATGCAATTCACACACAAGCGTAGATATATCGTCATCAGAAAATATGTGAGTTTTACTGTTCATAATCAAAATCCATGATAATATTTGTATATTTATTATTTGCTGGTCCAGCTATCTTTTTCCTTTACTTTAGATTGTTTATGTAAATTTTTATTGTTCTAGGAAATTGCAATACCATATAGTTAGTAGGTATTTCAGAACAGTCAGTCGTAAGTGATCTACGCCATCAAAGTGTTTCTTTAAGTCCATGAACAGTGAACATATTATGTTTCTATCTGAATATAGAAAAATTGAATATTTGTATAAACCACAGATTATGTGGTTTATACATATTGCACTGTTTTTAGTTATTTATTAATAATTTACACTTATTTAATTGAGTCTTTATTTTACTGTTATTTTTAACACTATCTAGTTCATTTAAACTAACACTAAAATACAACTACTTAAATTATAATATATTTATTTGTTACTTGATAATACCAGCTTATCATTAGAATAACTCTCAAATCTAAATTGTTCCCTGTTTATAGTGTACATCTATGTCTCTTGAAATCTCCTAATCCTTCCACAGACATCGTGACTTCAGGACTTTATAATAATATCTTTACCTGGACCGCGTGGAACCCTCGACCAGACACCTGGTTTTTGAGTATTTTCTAGTCTATACTTTAACAAGAAATTAAGGAGGGTGATTATTTGTTAAGAACCGACTTTTATTTGAAATTAATTTTATCGAAATTAATTTTCTTAGACAGCTTAGAACAGAAATTTATTAACAACAACAGCAAAATAGTTTTTTGGTCAAGATATGTTAATGATTGTATAGTTCTTATACAGAGAACACAAGATGATGCTTTACAGATTCTGGATGATCTTAATAACCTTCATCCTAACATCTCTTTTACTCTGGAACCAGAATCTGATAATAAGTTGAACTACTTGGATATGACTATATCTCGTAATACAGATTCTCTAGAGTACAATATTTACAGAAAACCTACCCAAACAGATCATTTTATACATGAAGCATCTAATAATTGGATTATACCCCATTTATATACTTTGCTTTCAATTTTGATTTTCAATGTTTCGTATTTTAATTACATAGTCAGATTTCTTCTTTTCTACAGTATTAATAGTGCTTGGTAGACCCTTTTATTGTAGTCAACCACTAATATATTGTTTAGTCTATTTCTTGCATTCATACTTTACGTCGACTTCAGTTGCTCTTAAACTAACATCCTAATTATTATAGACAAGTTTGAGAGTGAGATCTGGATTATGCAATCTACTTAAAACATTCTATATAATTTCATATTTCATTAGTTGACTTCCTATAGTAGTGTCAGTTGGCCCTTTGGTCAATGCTTAGTTTCATAGAATTTTAAAATGTGCAGATCACATCTGACTGCCCATGGCCTGGAATCTTATATGAATAACCTTGAACATTTCCCCCATCACTTATAAAATAATCAAACGAAGCTTAATTCCGCCATGTCAATTCCGTCAAAAGTAATGACAAGTTGATGATTGATATTTGTATATTTTCAACTTTCGTTCATTTTCGTCTTCTACGTGCTTTGGCTTGTTTACAGTTTTCATTTTTAATTTAATTATCTTTAACTTTCGTTTGTATTTAGTCTTAGTAATTTAAGTTGGTTCCTTAGTTTTTAAAGTTTAGTTAGTTGATACCTTAGTTTTCATTTTTAATTTAATTATCTTTTAACTTTCGTTTGAAATTTAATCTTAGTAATTTTAATTTAGGTTAGTTCCTTAGTTTTTAAAGTTCGGTTAGTTGATTCTTTAGTTTTTTCAGTTTAGTTTTATTTGATTCCTTAGTTTTTAAAGTTTAGTTATAGTTCATATAAATAAAGATTTTCGTCTACCTACAAAACTTGTGAAAAAGCAGATAGGTATTGTCACATCACTCACTATATGTGAGATTATTCCATTGGAAAATAATAAAATATTTTGAATTTCCCACTAAATTTTAATTAGTACCGAAATGACCCACCAGAGGCGCTACAGGGATAAAATTAATACTTAACCATTTGAATTTCCCGCCAAATGGTGATTAGTATTGACTCCGCTCACCAGTGGTGCTAATAAACCAAATTTATATATCTGTGTATACCATATTATTTATCTATGTGACTGCCCATCCAAGCTGTCATATGTCACATGTCACCTCAACATTTCTGTTAAGACCAGGAGCCATTCTGTCTTTTAAAATTCCCTGTGTAGTGTTCTGTAATGTACAATTTTATGTTTATAACATTTTATTCTTGTTGGATAGGCCACGATTGACGAAGTAAGTCTAAAACGTTAATAACATAAAAACTTTTATCAACCATCAACTTCAATTTCTTATCTAAGTTAATTAATTTCTTCAGTTAAAAAAACGTTTCTTGGCTTATTTCAGATGCCCCTGAAGATGCTCGAGGAAGCGAAAGTACTTTTAAATGACAATATTTAATTAATAAAATTGTGCTCAATATCTGCCTTTTATTTGATCAAAGTTCATATATTCGAGCATTCAACCTTATATCAATTTTAAAATTACCCGATCTTGCCTTACTGTTATGTGAATATAGATACGTGACTTTCTACGATTAAAGCTTTTACCAGAACCATTAAAAAATGATTCATGATATCTAAAAACTGTTATCGACAAGGAAATAATATGTCCTGCGATGACGAAGATCATATTACCATCAAACTTATCATTGTCGTCATATTAAATTTTTGTTGATTATTTAAAATTAAATGTAATGGATATCTTAGTGCAAATTGCATTTGTAAATCATCAGTCAGCAAAAATGTTATATAAAACATGCGAACAGTAATCAATGTTTATCATTGTTGTTGAAGTATCGGCTGTTGAGTTTGTGTTCGAGTGCTTTGTCTCAATAGTTTTTATACTCATTTTGGTAATTAGGTTTTTATTTTGAAGTAAGACAGAATAAGACGGTTTACCTTATATTTCATCAGTTTTTCGTAGAATAAAAATGAATTTAACCAGTGCTATAAGTTCACGACTTCTATGTCATAGACCTGTCTCGCAAAAGAAAAAACAAATTATCTGGAAGGTATATGGATGGAGGACTAAAAAAACACTACCTTTAACAGAAGCTGTTAGTCGCTATTATTTTTTAACAGTAAGAAAAACTAACAAATAGTTTCTCCAAATCAGCGTGAATGAAAACCTGTTAAGTTGGATGAAGACCAAAAAATTCCTCCGCAAAACTGTACATACACTTTTATTTGAAAATAAGGCTCCAACTCTTTAATCTATATTAAGTAAAATAACACCGATAATTTTCTTAAAATGAAATATTACAAAATAGCATTATAATGCCGGGTCCAGACCAAGCAGACAAAACGAAAACACAATTCTGAAACAAAAACACGATAAATCGGCGACAAAATTTGTCGTCAAAAGACAAAACAAAATTGAGACAAACTGTCCACACCAGAACAACAAAATATAAAAACAAAATTCAGTTGGTGACGTTGTTGTTGTGATTAGTGTTGGTTAACCATGTGGCGTTTTAATAAAGAAAAAAATGAAACTGAAGATTTATTGCTAGCCGCAAGTTGTTTTTTTTTGCCCTCATCATCATCCCAGGTTGCTAAACGAAAACCCAAACGTTTTTGGATTAGACCAAGCCTAAAAATGCGAGAAAGTTGTTCGATAGACAAATTGTTAGTTCAGCTGCGCGCAGATGATATTGGACTAAGTGGTGAAATTCGATCAAGCTTCAAAAATTTTTTAAGAATGTCCACCGAAGATTTTGAGAATCTAATATGCCTTGTTGGTCCTGCAGTTGCAAAAAGACATACTAACTTTAGAAATGCTATAAGTGTAACAGAACGTTTAGCAATCACTTTAAGATTTTTAGCAACAGGTGATTCCTTCTTCTTCTTCTTCAAGTGCCCTGTCCGTTGCGAACGTTGGCTATTAACATGGCAATTTTGATCTTGTTTGCGGCGCTTCTGAATAGTTCGACCGATGTGAGCCCGAACCACTTCCGCAGATTTTGGAGCCACGAGTGTCTTCTCCTGCCTGGCCCTCGCTTACTGTCTATTTTTCCCTGGACAATCAATTGTAGCAGACGGTACTTATCGTGTCTCAATATGTGGCCTAGATATTCAAGCTTTCTTTGTTTAATTGTATTCACGATTTCTTTCTCCTTTCCGATTCTTTGGAGTACCTCTATGTTGGTGACATGTTCGGTCCAGGATATACGAAGAATGCGTCGGTACACCCACATTTCGAATGCTTCTAGTTTTCTCGTTAGCGTCTCCGTCAGCGTCCAGGCCTCCACGCCATACAGCAAGATCGGAAAAATGTAGCATTTAACTATACGTAGTTTTAGGGGAAGAGACAAATCCTTGCTTATGAGGAGCTTTTTCATATTGCTAAATGCTGCTCTAGCTCGTTCTATTCTCGCCTTAATTTCTATGGTCTGTTCCCATTTTGCATTTACGTTGGTGCCAAGGTACACATAAGATTCTACATGGTCAATTAATATGTTACTTATCCGTAATTGTCGAGCAGGTTGTTGCTTTTTGCTTATCAGCATCCACTTTGTCTTCTTGAAGTTGAGGCTCAGGCCGTATTCCTCACTAACTGAATAAAGTCTTTCCATTACTTGTTGTAATTCGTCTATGGTACTGGCAAGGATCACCGTGTCGTCGGCGTATCTTATATTGTTCGTTAACTCGCCGTTTATTTTAATGCCCTCATTTGCATTTTCCATACGGTATGCCCTCATTTGCATTTTCCATTATGGTAGGTGATTCCTACCATAACCAAACCATTTTGAACTGAAAAGTTTCCCAGCCCCAGATTTTTTAAGTTTTTTGTAGTTTCGTCTTTCTCTAGCATACTGGTTGTTAACATTCTTTATTTTTTTTTTCAACATCATTTAGTGGCACATTTAGCGATAAAGAAATTTCCTTTAATGCATCGGCTTTCTTGTAGCGATTTTTATAATCTTTATTTTTAGGGTCCCATAATATCGGATGCTCCCTGTAAATTTCTATTAACTTGCATGTATTTTGTGTATTCCACTTTTTGTCCCCCGACATGTTAAAAAAATACACTAGTATTTATTTATTCACTACACAACAGAAAAATACACTTGATTTTGATAAAAATTGTACATTGTACATTCTATTTCTCCTACTGCTTAACTCGTTTTGGCACGCACAAGCGTCCACACTGCGTCGACAACTTGTCGTCAAAAACACAGACAAAACACAGACCTTTTGATCTTTACCGACCTGAGACGGGACCTGAAAAAGTTTTCAAATCTGCAAACAAAACAAAATTGTTTCAGAAATGTCTCATCAAATGTTTTCGATTTGTCGCCACTTTGTCGCGAAACATGAATGTTTTTGTTTTGTCTGCTTGGTCTGGACCCGGCATAAGATCTTAACTTCAGATATATAAAACAATGACAGAGTTCCATTTTAACAAGTAATAAAGAAATAACATCATGGCGACGTAATTATCTACACTCATATTTTCCCACATAATCTCCCTATTAATGATATTACGCTTATTTCTCTGTAGTTTTCTAATCGTTTTTATCTCCTTTCTTAAATATAGATGTCATATATGTCTCCATCCATTCCTTTGGGAGCTGTTCTCCATTTATGGCTTCCTGAAATATCCATTTTATCATCCGGTTTCTTATTTTTGATTGCTTTTATGGCCGTTCTCATTTCTCTATCTGTTATTGCTATATCTTGTTGTGGGGATCTGCTTCGACTTCACTTGTTTTCTTTTCCAATGAATTGTGGTCTTTGCTCTGTTAACAATTTCTTGTAATAGTCCTTCCATGCTTTGTCCTGTATATTGCCTGATTAAATTTTTTCTTTTGAGTTCTGTTTCAATCCTGTCCGTACTTTCCATGACTCCGAAGTTCTTGTACCTCCTATGTATGTTTCAATATCTAAGCAGGTTCTTCTCCATTCTTCATTCTTTTGTTGAGTTATTTGTGTTTTCACTTGCCTATCTTTTTTTCTACATTATTAATAAACTTCATCGTTGTTTGTAGTCAGCCATTTTCTCTATAGTTGCTTTTTTTCTTCAATTATTCTTTTAGTTGGTCCATTTATTTCACAATAGTGCTGTTTATTTGTTTATATTGTATTGTTTTTCTCTTATAGTGTTTAACGGTTCTTCTGTAGAGGGGGTTTTGTTATGTTTCCAATTAATGCCCATTTTTGCTGTCAGTAGTTTATGGTCAGGTCCACATTCTTCTTCTTTTCAAGCTCTCACATCTTTTATCTTTATTGTGCTATCTTGTTTGACTATTACGTAGTCTATTATCGATTGTAGCTTTCGTGTTTCTTGCGTCCAAGTATATTTATGAATATTTTTATGTCAGAAGAATCCATTGGGGACTTTTAGGTTGTTTAGTTTAATTCAAGCAGACGTTCTCCGTTATCGTGTTATTCATCCTCTCTAAATCTCCACACTACTTTAAAGTTTTCTTTTATTTCATTTCTACCGTGAAGGTCTCCTGTTATAATTATCTCCACGTTCTTCTTGATTAGCTTTATTTAGCGTTGAAGTTGTTCCGTGAATTTTTTTACTACTCTCGGGGAATCGTCTGTTGGTGCATATTTATACTCCGAGTATCACTGTCTCTTTACCATATATGTCTATATGCATTTTAATTATCCTCTCGTTAATTGGCTCAAATGTTCAAACCCTGTTTTTCCACTTATTTTTGATTAGTATTCCTACCCCTGCCTTTGCTCTACATTCCTTATTAACTCCACTCCAGCAGTGGATATGGTCTTCTATTATTTCCGTTTTATTTCCCTTCTTTTTGGTTTCTGTTGTTACTAGTGTACCGATCTTGCTTTCTCTAAACTCCTTGATCACTTCCGTCGCCTTTTTGTTCCATCCTTGTATGTTCCACGTTGCACATATGAATATTCTATTTTTTTCTTTGTTTTGATTTTTGGTTGAGCTTTGATAAGACTGGGTCTTCCGAACTCTTCGCAACATTGCCCCCTCTCCGTATCTAAAGGCTCTTTATCACCCGAGGATGTGTTACCGTATTTAACATTTTCATCTTCTTCTTACCCTTACGTTTTTCTTGTGTTAGGTTGCTAATTCCTAACTCCACAACCCCCGTTTGTAGACGCTGTTGGTTCTTCCGCCCTCTCGACCATTGTAACTTTTCCAGCCATCCTCTGCTCTTGAAATCGTTGACCGGTTTTCACCTGTACTCCAGGCAAGGACCCTCACAGGGTGATATCAGCCGGGTAAACTGAACCTGTTTTTTTGCCAAAATTCTCACTGAATAAATCTTATAGTTTCTTCATTATTTTCATATATTCAGCAGACGACTGTTAATCTTAAACGACTTAAGCACATAAATTCAATAATAAAAAAAATTAAAAAAACATGAAATTTTTCCGAATACGTCTTACTATTTACAAATTAACTATCTAGTAACATGGCTCGACTTGATTTCCCACGGCAAAAGCATTCAGCTTTTTTTCTTCATAACACATGCTTTGACTATAAGTAATTTTTCACGGGTATAATATCACTAATTCTAATAAAGCTACAACACCTCTGCGACACATACATGAATCTATTATCTAGTATTTATTTTATGCAAATGGTCAACAAAACCATTCATACTACTGTTGACGATTACGCTATTGGAATATTGTTTAGGAAAAAATTAAAGGGAACGGTAGACATTGTCTTGTTTGTGTACATGTTTCTAAAGGAATTTTATTTCAGTACTGTTCTGAAGCTATTTACTTGTGGCATTTTAAAGTAATTACTATTTAAATGGGAATAAGCCACAATTAAAGGTTAAAATACGTTTATTGACGTTTCAATTTCCACTTCGGAAATCGTTCTCAAAATACAAACAGTAAATTAAACAAATTTTGTTTTTTCGTTACTTAGTGAAAAATTTAATTTTATCTGACTCATTTATATTGACAATTCAGACATACATTATACATTTTAAAGTAGACGACTTTAAAATGATTTTATTTTAGTTGTGATTTAGAAAAGTTTAGGAATTAATAAATAAAGAATTAATTAGAAATGTATACACCCACACGTGTATATATATATATATATATATATATATATATATATATATATATATATATATGTAATATATATATATATATATATATATATATGTATATATATATATATATATATATATACATATATATATATATATATATATATATATATATATATATATATATATATATACAAAAACACCAGTTTATTAGGGCTGCAGTCATAAGGTTGGCCGAGATGTTAGAGAAACACTCTTTTGACTTTTTGTCAAGCTTTCGGAATTATTTTATTCCTTCTTCAGGACACTGTAATACATATAAAAAATTTGGGGAGTTTTAATTATTAAATCTGTCTTAATGGTATGCAACCAGTTATGCATACAAGAATATGTAAAGGTAGTTATTTTTTTTTATTATTGATGATTTTCCAGTAAATAACAATAAATGTTGCTCAATTTATCTTTGTCAGACTTTTTATTTATGAAAGATGTACTAGATTTTATGAAACACATTTACAAGAAAACACGTTTTGTATGGTTTTTTCTTTTGCCAAAACACAGGAATCTTCGAAATTGAATTCATGTTCAAATAACTGTTAAATAGTTTTAAATTGTTTGTCCTTGTTTAGTGTAGTGTTTGTACAATTTTATGTTTAGTGTTATGTTTATTACATTCTGCACTTGTTGGATAGCTCAAAATTGACGAAGTAAGTCTAAAATGTTAATCACAAAAAAACTTTTATCATCCATTAACTTCGAGTTTTTTATCGAAGTTAATCAATTTCTTCATTTAAAAAACGTTTCTAGGCTTATTTCAGATGCCCCTGGTGATGCTTTAGATAGCGAAAGTACTTAAGTAAGATTAAATTAATAAAGGTGTGCTAGATATCTGCCTTTCATTTTATCAAAATTCATTTATTCGAGCATTCAACCTTATTTCGATTCAATAATCGACTAGATTTAATTCGATAATCGATTCAATAATCGATTCGATAATAGATTCGATAATCGGTTCGATAATCGATTTGATATTTTTTTTCTATTTTCTAAATAAAATGCGCTGCTTACGACGTATATGCATGTTCTTAATATCAAATTAAATGGATAGTGTTAGTTGTGTGAGTTTTTCAAGCATGCTGTGGTAAATAGTGTTAATAATATACCTACATATTATCATTTGCCAAACCAGTGTCGGTACGCGCTAACTCTTGTTTACTTTATGTTTTATATCTCGCGTTTTTAATACCTGGTAACTCTAATTTGCTACATTTTTTCTCAGGTAACCATATGTTATAATACTAAAAAAATTGACATAAATTTGATATAAAAATATACCTCTACATTATGAGCAGCGTATTTCATTTAAAAAAATAAATAAACAAAATAAAATTTTTGTTCAAAATTTAATTACCATTAATTGAATTAAAAATATTTGCTGTCAACTTTTGACTGTTATATTAGCTTCGTCGGCTATGTCGACTATTATATTAGCTTCTCTGAGAGCTTTTCTTATATGTGTATGTAGACGCTGATATGCGGCGTAGTCTTTTCCTTTGTATTCTTTTCTTTTGTTCATCATCCTTAATTAACTATCGGTTATCCATGTTTTTTTCTCTTTTGCTTTTTTGTTAATATTTCTATTTAATATTTCTCCGCTATAAATGGTTTATTATGTTTCTACATCATTAACTGCTTCTGACGTAGATATGTTTTTGTTGAATATTACCGAGGAGTGGGGTATATTTTGACTTACTGACTTACTTACTTTTGTGAATATTTGCACCAGGGTAATTTTTTACCGGATTAATGATCTGCAAAATACTGGGACGGAGAAAAAATGGTTATTAATA